AAAAGTATAAAAAAAAATAATAAAGTAGTGGCGCGAGCAGGAATCGATCCCAGAACTTGGCGCACACATTACGGGTCCCTAAACCATTACACTACGAAGGATTCGCTTGAAATTTAATTAAATTTACGGCATCTTCCAAGTGCTCTGTATTTCGTTCTGAGATGGTTTTCTACAATCTATTTGTAATATTTTACGATACTTCAACATTAAAATAATAAATTTTAAAATATACTTACTGCAACACTCTTGTAGAAGGCATGATAACCGGTAAACCGAATCGACTGCTTTGCGTTTCCACTGCTACCCGCCATCTTTTCAAAAATCTGAACATTATTTATCATGCCGCGCGAAATCTTTTCATCGACTTGGTGTAAGATGTCACCAAATGGTTTCACGCGCTAATTATCGCTAGCGCGATCTGGGAACGAGATTAATGATGTGTTCGACCATCAATGATGTGCTCGACCGTCGACGGTTTCGAAATTTGCTGCGGCGTGCGTGCGAGTGAAAACCCGATATTTTGAAAAATTCAAACTTTTTAATATTTTTACTTGCCGTATTCAAACGAAACTTTCTACATAAAAGCGCTTGAATATATAAGGAGTATTTTATTCACATTGACTCTGACTCTGAGCAAATTCTGAGTTTAGAAGATATTCAAGTTTTTTTCTCGATATGAAATACAGAATGTTAGTGGTTGGGTAAATACTAAAATAGGCTGCATTGCCAGTTACTGTAATTGGTTAATAGACCTTAATGAATATATAATTATGCTGTTTATCCACTTTTGACCCAATGGCCTCATTTTCATATTGGTTATTTATGCTCATGTTCCGTGCAAACAATTTAAGAATAAGTTTGTAATTGGTCTTACATTTTTTAACTTTATATTTTGAACATACTTTAGGTCCAAATTTAAGTATAGAATACTGGGAGTTAACAGCTACAGGATGGTACTTCATGTTAAATTAACCTTCAATAATTTCACATGATCATACAGGAAGGTCGGACATGTAATTGTACACATGCAGGCTTCACGCTTTTTCAGTGTCCTGCACTTTTTGACCATTCTCTTCATTAATCATTATTAGTTCGTTCAAATGTTACTTGCAAGCCAAGAGATAAATTAGATAACTAATTGTCCTGGTTGTTTTTAATGCTTTTGTGATATTTAAAGAGGGCAAGTTGAAATTAATTTATGGTAGATTTGGGAGTAGATCTTGGCACATGCTTAAAGAATCATTGTCAACCACAATGCATTGTGCGCCCAAACTGGCTTAGCGGCCATTTCAATGGCGCAATAATTCGGTTTTCAATCCATAATACATTACTACTATCCTACGGTTATACTTGCTCATTTTAACTTTTTTATACTAAAATTGCAGCAAAGAAATGTTTATAATCGTCATTTGTTGCTATTTGTCACTTTCGAAGGTAAGATGTAAACAAATGCATTGTGGTTGACAACCGATGATCGACTCTTTAATTACAGCATAAGTGCATGCCTATAAGTGTTTTTTTCTGGCCGGAGAAAAGAAAGACTTTGTTTTAAAATCAGTAAAAGAGTGCGTTTTCACATTCATATTTATATGTACTATTTATAAAACGAGCAGGAGTGTTTTATTAGATTTAAAGCCACGAGCGCGCAGCGCGAGTGGCTTTAGACCTAATAAAACACGACCTGCGAGTTTTCTAAATGGCTTCAAAAACGAGAATGGCTAAATGGCGTGGGTGGGTGGGTCGTGCGTCGTGGGTCGTGGGTCATGCGTCGTGGGTACGGTGTTGGGCGTCGTATAGACAATGAAAATATTTTTAAAGACGGATAGAGGGCAGACGGACAGACGGATGGATGAGAGGGTAAAACACGGACGGACAGAAGGGTAAAATGCGGACGGATGAGAGGGTAAAATGCGAACGGACGGCGGGAGGGTAAAATACGGATATGAAGGCATATAGAGTATGGTGTATTTGTATTTTTCATGTAGACTAAAATCCCAACCTTCGCAACTTTCATGCTTATTTTTCTTTGTTATCCGGTGTGTAGTAATTTAATTTTATGGCACTATAATGTGCTGTTTTTCAAGGGTTTCTAATGCAGTTATCGGTCCTAAAAGTAACATTCCCGTTGAGACATGACAATTTCAGTACGGCCTACTTTTACGCAAACGCGAATTACAATGGCAACATTCATGCTTAATTTTCTCTGTTATCTGTGCATGTAGTAATCCTATTTTATGCTAGTATAATGTGCTGTTTTTTACAGGGCTTTTCAATGCTGTTATCGGTTTAAATATACCTAAAATGCCCGTTGAGATATGACAATTTCAGTACGGCCTACTTTTACGCAAACGCGAACTACAATGGCAACATTTATGCTTAATTTTCTCTGGTACAGGGGCGTAGGAAGCTTAGAAAAGTTGGGGGGCCCAGGCTTTGAGGGGCACTTTCAAAAAAAAAAGGGCATCTCAAAAAATTTTTTTGGCGACCTCCCCCCCCGTCGCCAAAAAAATTTCGGTCAGTGTACCATTTTAAGGGGTAAAAAATTATTCCGGACATCCCATATTTTTCCTTAAATACTAAAATTTTTTTCCGGAAAAACAAATATATGATATTTTTATTGGAAACTAAAACATTTTTCGGGAAAAAACCTACATTACAGTTTTCAAAAGTTTCGTTTAGACAAAAACTGCGAATTTTATGAAAATTTTTCAGGCACAAAAAGGGCACTTTGCTCCTGTAAAAAGGGCACTTGCCAAAACTTGGGGGGGGGCCATGGCCCCCCTGGCCCCCCCCGGTTCCTACGCCCCTGCTCTGGTATCTGTGCATGTAGTAATCCAATTTTATGCTACTATAACGTGCTGTTTTCCAGGGCTTTTAATTGCAGTTATCCGTTTAAATACCTAAAGTTTTGACGAGGTAGGATACCCATGGGCGGTACGGAAGGAAAAAATTAGGGGAGCGGAAAGAAATTTACCCGACTTTTTCGGATTGTGCCCGACTAGTGCCGAAAAATTTTTCCGGAACAATTAATTTTGGCGACCTCCCCTCCAAACCCCCTCCCCCCCGTCGCCAAAAAAATTTCGGTAAGTGTACCATTTTAGGGATCCAAAAATTTTTCGGACACACCAAAATTTTTCGGAACATCAAACAAATTTTGCAAACAGCACAAAATTGACAGAATTTCCCACAAAATTGACAGAATCCGACTGTGAATCGAATATTGCCCAACTGGCTTTTTCTGCCCAACAAACCAGCGGTACACCCATGATTATATTACATCAACCACGGGTTTCGAATTGATTTTTTCAAGCACATGCAACAGTGGAAGTTATTATAGTTTTTCAATATTAAATATTTTATACTTATTAACTAAAGTTATTATTAAGAGAGTTTGATTGCTTCGACTACTTTTTTGGCTTTTTAATTTCCCACTCTTCGCCCGACTTATGTTAAACATTTGCCCGACTTTTCGACTTTGTAATCTTTTTTTTTGGGGGGGGGCAGCTTCCCCCCCCCCTGCCCCCCCGTCCCGTACGGCTATGGATATAACTGTATATCAATACAGAAAAAATGTTTTATATTTTTTATAATATAGTGCAAAGAAATATACTGAACAAAGAAATTTTCCGTGTTGTCATTGAGTTATATCAACACGGCTCTTAGCCAATCAGCGTTCAGAATTTACAAATGCTATCCAGTCTGCAAGTGTCCATTGCTGGAAAGTGTTTTATAGCCACTGAATTTCGCGAGTAAAAGTTTATCAAATATTTACTCAAGGAATCCCATAAAGTGAGAATAATTTCAATACTCAGACAATAGCTTCACACGCAACTCCTGAGTGACATTAGTATCCATGAATGCACTTATGCATGCATCTCATGTGGGTTGACCCTTGAGATTCTTGTCGAGGAGAAAAATAGTCCCTTAACCTTGCACTTCTTGAAGTTGCTTCTCTTGCCAATTAAACAGGATGCACACACTTCAGCTTATATGTGGTCTTATATATAGTTCTAGACTTGTAATGTTTTTTATATGGATTTCAGATCCGTTTTGAAAATTATGTTCTATATGGTACATATACCAAGTTATAGCAGCTGTTCAACAAAATTTTATCACGCCAATTTTTATGCTCATTGCATGGTTGACGTTTTGCTGCATTATTGGCATTAATAAATAATGGCAAGGATTGACTTTTACCCAACGTTCACTGACACTACATGATTCTCACTGCATGTGAACAAGCTGAGAATTTCTATCACGGTTCAAGAGAACTTTTTCAGAGATTCAATTTGTATAAAGTCAAATTGAAAATATTTTTGAGGGACTTTTACTTAGTTTTGAGTGATCAGAGGGAAATATACAACTCATCCCAGTTCTGTCATACCTGACGCGAAGTTCAAAGCTAGAAATTCACGTTATGGAGACCCGAATGTAAATTACATTCCTACAACTAACTGAAACACTCTTGTTTGCGAGAGTTGATTCTTAGGGAAAGTACATTTATTACGCCGAGGGGGGGGGATGAAGATGTCTTAGGGAAAAAGCCTTTATTTTATAGGGCCCCTGCTGTCATTGCCTCCAAGTTTTAAAATTTTCAATGCCCCCAAGAATTCGGAATCAAAGGAGTACAATCCGGAATTCTCTCTTATCATAGATACAATATATAGAAGGGCGTGGCTCGGTAACCATGGAAACAGTACATATGAAGTTTGTATGTTTGGTATCAGCAGGTGATGTTCTATCATAAGCAACCTAAACGAAGTTCATAATACTAAAAATAAAAAAATTAATCATATTGTCCCAGACCACCTTAACTAAAGTTATTATTAAGAGAGATTTGATTGCTTTGACTACTTTTTTGGCTTTTTAATTTCCCACTCTTCGCCAGACTTATGTTGAACATTTGCCCGACTTTTCGACTTTGTAATCTTTTTGGAGGGGGGCAGCTGCCCCCCCCCCCCCTGTCCGTACGCCTATGAATATACCGCCCAGATAACAGACAAAATTAAGCATGAAAATTGCAATTGTAATTCACGTTTGCGTAAAAGTAGGCCGTACGGTTTTCAAAAAAATGGAGCGACACAGTTTTCAAAAAAATGGAAACCATTTAGATCGGTATTTTAATAAATTGTCAAAATAATTGAGTATACTAAAACAAATAATTTTATGAAATAAAAATTGGGGGTAGGCTGTTGCGGTATTTGAACAAACACGAAAACCGATACCAGAAAAAAATACCGACAATACTGATATATCGATATTTTCGCGATTGTATTTTGCTTAATTTTATGCAAAATTTGCTTAATTTTATGCAAAATTTCCTGTTTTCAAATGATGCCAAACAGCCACGATATAACAGCTTTGACTCATCAGGTGCGTGATGTTTTCAATAAAGTGTCAATGAAAAGTGAAAATGCATATTACTCCTATATCATCGTTTTATATCACCAGAAAACTAACAATGTCCAATGAGGTTAGTTCTTGTTTTTCTAAAACATTTGTAATCCACCGTTGTTTACGAGCGAAATGACATATTACCTATAACTAAGCGAAATGACATATAACCGTACCTTGCAACGTACGCCAACGTAACGTATAAACAAACACGTTTTAGATCGCGCTTTAACCTTAATTGACGGATTTTCCCGCGCCAGTTAGCACATTGATCGTCTTTGTCCTTCTGAAATAACTTCAATCAGCGCTTGAAAAAGCTTGATATGACGTTTAAATATACAAACGTAAACGTGATATCGGTAATACCGAAAAATATCGATATTCCGATATGAAAATTCCAATATCGAGTAATCGGTATTTATACTGAAAAAACGATAGTTATCGGTATATCGATATGCCTCAACAGCCTAAATTTGGAGGTCACCGATGTCTTTTACAAGTTAAATTACTGTAATTAAATTCAACCACCCACAAGTTCAGCGAATCTACCAGCATTTTTGTAGCCTGCGAACAGGCTCTCAAGCTGAATTGAGAGCCTGCATCGATGAATAATGAATTTGAATATCTGCCCCGTAACGTTCGTTTTTCCAAATATGGAATGTCTATCCTTATATGGTGTTGTTTACAACTTTCGTGCAAACTAAATTTAGACCGTGCAAACTAAATTTAGAGCGTACAGTTTATACTATTTTTCGAAATATAAGATATTCAAGCAAAAGTTCAAATGTTTTAAATACTGTTTTCTCAAAACAGAACATTTCGTGCTTTGAGATAAGACGGCCAAGACCAATATGATCAGTTAATGTGTTTTTTATGCATAGTGCTTAGAGCAGTTGACATATATAGAGCTCAGCGGAAACATATAAATTATAGCATCTAACCAATGAGAATTTCGCGTCACGATTTGAGACGCAGATATTCAAATTCATTAGTCATCGATGCAGGCTCTCAATTCAGCTTGAGAGCCTGTTCGCAGGCTAGCATTTTTGTCAATGTGGCCATAGTCAATAGAGATGTGGCATAGCTAAAAAGATTCGTGCAAAATTTTGGCAGTTCATGGTATAGTTCGGTTTTAAATTTTTTGCGATTTACTGACGCACGACCCACGACGCACGACGCACGACCCACGGCGCACGACCCACGACGCACGACCCACGACGCACGACCCACGACGCACGACCCACTCACCCACGCCAAATAGACAATCTCTTCAAAAACATTTGCATAATAAGTCAAATCTTTATATAAAAACCTTTATATAAAAATCATTATATAAAAATCTTTATATAGTTTGCATAACAATGGTCTTTTGTTAAAGTGTTCTTTAGCTGGTATAAAGACGTACGTATACGCACGTGACTAATTTCTTACTCAAGATTGGATAATTGCTTCATGAATTATTAATGAGTTTTTGAAGTATTAGGCCGTGGGATGAGCATGCAAAAGATGCAATTCCGTTGCACCCCTCGTGGAACTACGTCATTTTCACATGAATAAATAGATAACTAGATGGCACTCAGAGACTGCATACCTCCGCCTACGCGCAAAATATTGAAGTAATCTATTGTTATTAGAATTTGAATGGCTGGTGCATATATTATGCACGTCCTAATTACGCATTCAGTATAAAGTTTTATTTAATTGACCGGGAAAAGCAAGACAAACTTTTGTTATTTCTCATTCAATTTTTAACCAAATTCAACCAAATTTTAATCAGTTCTTCCTTAGCCGATGGGAAATGCACTCACAAAATTTCGTACGGTTATGTTTGGTATTTCATGAGTTATCGTGCTCACAGACAAACACATACACACATACACACACACACATACATACATACAAACCCAGATGATTACGTAACCTCCTGGCGGAGGTAAAAACTTACTTTATCAGAATCCGTTGATCCCCAAGTGAAACAGGTGGACAATTGGGAGAAAAATCCCTCCAAAGTTTGATATTTTCGCGCTTCGAAATATTCGAACCGCCATTATTTTGGTAGCAAATACGCATGCGCAACTCAGTCAAACTGGCACTGCGCACGCGCAGACTATAAAAATAGATTCTTACTGGGGGGTTTCCCCGATTTCCTCCGCAAAAACAACAAAATAAAATCACACAATACTGATCAAACCTTGTAATATAAATACATCCACATTAAATATTGTTAAAAACACATTGTATATTTTGCTTGCTCATATGCTAAATCACTTCAATTCATTGGCTATTGTTTCAAAATACCGTTTTAACGTTTAATTCTACTTTATATTAACATCCTAATTCAATACAAATTTGTGTGAGGTAAAAACCCCACCTGTATCAAACAGGACGGAGAATAAAAAATATATATGCATACAATTCACACGATCAAGGAACAATTAAAATGAAATATTTGTGAAACACTCTTTATCCGTTTGCCGACGCTGATAAGACAATATGACATACCGAAAGATTGGAAAGACAAATAATATGATAACAGTGTTTCCAAGTTCATCCCGGGCTTTAAGAATTAAGGGATATTTATATAAACTCGAAATTCATAAAAAAAAAAAAATTAGGAGGAAATATAAAATCCATAATTTCATTATAGCTATCTATAATTGAAAGAAATGTTTTCATCTTTGAACCCAGATTTTCATCAGAGCAATAAAATCCCGCTTATTGGATCCTGGCCAAGGGCTTGCACGCTCAAAACGCGATTGCATGTATTCTGCAATAAGCTGTCCTGGCTTTTGTCTGGTAAAGTTCTACTTCTCGTATTTGAACTATTTCATGTATTATATTTATATTGTGACATAAGTTGGTATTTAGCCACTATCTAGAATAACAAACAAGGAACGATTCAGCCTGGTTTTTCGTGTCCACACTAGTTGACTTATTCTTATAGATTTGCTGCTGTGAGTTTCAGCTTCTCCACCAGGGTGCGTTTTAGCTTCTCAGACATGACCATACTGTTAACCCTGTCCATGAGAGGGATATATGTGTTGATAATATAAATACTGTGGATCCGAATGAGAATATCGAATAAGTAAATAAATACTGATCTACTCCACTGATAATACCTACAGGCATTACCATCATTGTTCACCTCAAATCATTAATAATTCATGAGCAAATTAGCCAACCATATTGCTTTATTTTGCTCACATGATAATACTGGATACTTTATGAAGTATATTGATCCTGTAGTGTCCTAGGACTGGATAAAAATTAATTAAGTAGTGATTTATTCGTGATGTCATTTCAAATCCTCCAATTCGGACTGGACTATATAACAAACGTACTTGCAGGGAGGTGAGTCCGGGATTGGACGCACCGAGGGTGGCTGGAAGTTTCCCGAACTTACCGAGCGAAGCGAGGTGAGTTCAGGAAACTTCCAGCCACCCGAGGTGCGTCCAATCCCGGACTCACCGAACCTGCAAGTACGTTTGGTTTTTATCCCATACGCCGAGCCATACACACATTTGTAGCTCTTCGCGATATATTCGTCGATGTTTTGTGAACATTTTCCCGGCCAAAAAAATCACTGGGCAAGAAAATACATCTTTATCTACGTCTACATTACCTTTACTGCATTTTTTCTTTGGTTTTTCTTCAGTCTCGGTATGTTAGTCACCGAAAAAAGTTCTTTAATTTAAAGTTTAGGTTTATCGGCTAAATCTTGTCCGCCATATTTGTTATTGTTATTGCAACGTAAGCAGTTTAGCGGGTGAGTTCGGGCGAAAAGCAGGTGAGCTCGGCAAAAAGCAGGTGAGCTCGACGACAAGCTCACCTGCTCTAAACCAATCAGAAAACCGCTTTTAACACAGGTATGGGATAAGATTTCAAGTCCTCACATTTTGATCCAGTCCTCTGCTTCACCTCGGACGTGACCAAATTGCGTGGACTTGAAATCTAGTCCAGTCCTCATAGTCGGATTTGAAATATTATCCATTGTCAAATCAGATGCCAATGGTGGCCAAGGAAGATTCAGTTTTAGTATTTCTTGCACCTTTTGGTGAAGAATGAATACAGCATTGTATAGAATTTGTAACTCATTGACTTTAGAATTTCCCTCAGTTTCTGTGTTGGAATTCACATCATCATCATCATCAATGGTACAGCTCTCTTCATCAAAGTCCTCATCATTGTTTTCAGACTTAGGGCCTGTTTATATGGAAGCCGGGCTGGCCTGATAAGCGAGACAGCCTGGTAAGCAAGATCTCGCTGTGTAGTTATTTTTATAGTAAAAATTATCATGCGTTTATATGGACAAGCAGGCTGGCCCGGGTTGCCGAGATCTCGTTTGAAAGAGGCTAGATCTCGCTTACCGGGATGGAAATTTCTCCATATAAACATTTACAAGCGGGCTATCCTGGTTGCCAGGATGAAAGTTCAAAGATACCGCCGCAAGCTATTTTTAACAACTGTCAAAACAATACAATGTAACAAAATTGTCCTGGCAAGCGGGATGAATTCAAAGTTTCTCATATAAACACAAGAGAAATTCATCCCGCTTACTGGGCTGTCTTGCTAAGCGGGCCATCCCGGCTTCCATATAAACAGGCCATTAATTCACATATGTTCCTCAACCAATTCAGAAGAATCCAAATTTTCCACATATACAATCTCACTAACATTTCTCATTTTCGGTACACAGAACACAAGTTGGGGATAACTTTTCATCAGTCGTTGCTTGAGTTTAAAAGCTCTACATTTAGATGCATCCACATTCTCAGTGTCCTTAGCAATGATAACAAATTTCTCCTGCAAATCTTTCATATACTTTATTTGCTTATTTCTGATGACCTCCATCTCAATTACTTTCTTACAGAAATATACATCATAAGACTTCTCGTACACTGATGCTCTCGTTGCTTCTTCGTCTCTCTGGTGAGAAATATTGTATAATTGCAGTAGCAAACTTTGTGATAGCGGATTTCCAGAGCTACACAGTCTTTCCCCTGGATTTACACCAGTATCTGTTGATCATTCTTCCTCTCGGCAGCTGTACGTAGAAGACCAGCATCAATTGTTTTTGCCAACATGAGTGGGGTTCTTCTTGAAATCTTCTCTTCTTAGTTACCTGGTGTGAAACAAAATAAATTATTAAACTAAATATCTGCTAATAACAAGGTTGGATGTTTGTAGCATAGAAACTACTTTACCCTAAATAAACTTAATTGATCGCAATTCGATATATTTTAAAACCAAACCTGAGAATGTTGTGCACATTGCGCTAGTATTATACCTATCAAAATGACCATACCTTGTCTAGTGAGAACCACGAGGCGTCTCTTCCACAAATAATACATATCTCTGGGAGTACATGCGCGTTTTTTTTAGGCAGGGCCTTTATATTTATAGCTTCTGCGACTGATTGACGTGTAATTTTTCGCCTTGGTTCTATTGCCTCCACTTCCACGTGTGATTCTTCGGTAGAAGTTATAGTTTTAGAGCTAGTTCCTTCTCCTTTTTCTTCTTTTCTCTGTTACCTACGGATCTTCGGTTCATCGCAAAATCTCTTCTAGCATTTCATATGATGGTTCCATTCTAAGTTAATGGTGTCAGAGTTCTTCTCGATGTATGAATTGACAGATCCGTCATCGATGTTCTCGTACGATTTCTTAGCTATTTCAGCTTGTTGACACTTAAGTTTGGCCCATTTTGACCTACACTCAAGAAATTTCTTAAGCCTTTGGCGTGTAACTTTGCGAAGTTGCTCCGTAACGCCATCAAAATGCATAAAACATGAGGATATTCGAGTTTTATAAATATATTCAGCCATGTTTATTTGCATAACTGATGTTCCGTGTTTCCACTTCGAAGCATGTGCGTTGGTTGTGCGCGTGCGCAGTGCGAGTTTGGCTGAGTTGCGCATGCGTATTTGCTATCAAAACCATATGATCAAAACAATGGCGGTTCGAATATTTCGAAGCGCGAAAATATCAAACTTTGGAGGGATTT